TTTGAATGTCTAGGCAAGGCTAAGAAGCGTATTAGTTTATAAGTAAATTCGCTGCAATGAGCATGAAATCCAGTGATAAATAAATAATAACAGAGCACCAACGCCTATTTTTATGCGTCATTGTGATGGTTGTATAATCGATGAACGCCCGATGATATGCCGGACATAATGTATCAAGCGTTTGAAAATACTGACATTTCGTTGCATCTTCGATTTATTTGAATTCAGTAGCGAAATTCTGCACTTTGAAACATATGAAACATTAGAATCCACTCAATTAGTGGTTAGCTATCGGTTAAGAAAATGCCCAACCCATTTTTTCTTATTTCCAAAATCGAATTAGGAAGCTACCTGGATTATTAAAAATACTTGGGAACATGATTATATTGCTTTTTTGATTATTTCACAACTTAATATCGTTGAAATTTACACAATCAAAATGCTACACATTTTTAATCACGATATGAATGCTTTTGTGGTTGTTGCAGGCAGCTCATTAACACGTTTTAAATTTGAAAATTATCATCTATTACCGCAGCTAATATTCAGTATTATCTTATTCGTTTTTTAAAATACTTTTAGATATCCCACAATTATGGATCACTATTTAGAGCGCTCATAGATCAATGAATACACCAAAATTCAGTCAATTATTTAATCTTGTTTAAAATATTCATATTGGCATTTTTTCAGATTGTTTCGAATGTTAATTCAATGGAATATTGACTAGCTGCACTAGTGACACCAGTCTTCATTTTAACAGTTAATTCTCTCATGCCTCTGCCTTTTTTCAAATTTAATATCAAAGAGTTCATTTTTGACTTCATTTTTAGCATTTAAGTTCTAGAACTGATCAATTCTGCATCTGAATGCAACTAAATTTGTATCTTCATATCATGTTGCCTGAAATTTTTTTGAATAACGTATGACTTCTTCACGTCATTCCATAAAAAATCTCATTCATTAAGATTCACATTCACACAAAAACTCTTTCGTTGCGTCCCCACTTTACCACATGTAAAAATTTGTACTAATTTCAAACTTTTAACTGTCAACCTTTTTTACCATTCAAGTTAATATGCTTTTTTTCACATGGTGATGGTTTGGGGCAATCATTAAATCGCTGGCAAGTGTGTGAGGCGATATATATAGTGTAAGGCTATTGCTATATGTATGAGTGTGGTCAGGACAGCGATTGCGCGTTAGTCCGCTCACCTTAACGATTATTGCCTCTTCATTATTATTGTTATTGCCTCGTTAGCGCTCCTCCGGGTTCATAATATCCCATCATTTTCCCCGCAGGTTTTCTCAGTCAATCCTGCTTCGTCAATTGAGTTCCATTGAATAATTCTGTGGTTCAGCTCCACTCGTTTTTATAAGATCGTAGAAGTCGTAGAGATTTTCATTCGTTGGACAAATACAGGTTTACGTATGTAGATCACAGCATGGATATTATATTATAATGCTACAATTTTTTCCGTCGTTTATTGTACTTTAAGTGATATTTTTTCTTGGAAACCGCAGAAGCGCTTCGCTCGAGCGAATATGAACTACTAGAATATTTCATGCCAGCATTTGAAGGGAATGAATGCGAAAATCAAAAATCGAAATATTCATTGTACATTGATGGATTTATGAGCACTACATTTATTTAAAGAAATTATGGCAACAGAGATGATTTTTGTTATTCAACAGCTCATATATATCTCGTTAAGCCTGATAAGTGGTAATTTCAATCAGCTGTCCAAATCGTTTTTATTCTTACTGATCATGTACAAAGAATTTTCCGTTACTAATCTGATCCTTAATTACTCGTTCCTCATATTAATATATTTATTTATCATGTTATTCGCCGATATATAATAAGGTAATCCCCACTATTCAGTCCACGAAGAAGCCAAACCCACTTGAGTAAACAACATATTGTTGATGAGTACTTCTTCATGAACACATGAATAAGATGAATACACCTCCTTGTCTCTTTGCCAGTCAAATATCCAGACTTCTCGCAAGAAAAACTCTCGGGTGCTCCTGCACACAAAAAGTATATTTTCCTTCTGAGAAACCCCCTCGCATTCTGAAATAAAAAAATACGTTGAAAAGACTCACGGCGACGACAGAGAGTTCGATCACAAACCGCTGTAGGGAAGCCAAAGCTTTGGCATGGCGCCAGAAGCAACGTCTGAATCTCTCGTAAACTAGCCGGCAAGAAACCAGTGCGACTGCCACCGCTCACCAAAATCACTTTCAAATGCCGAAAATTTTGAGAATCTCGCAAAGAATCCTTGGCTCGTCTGCAGAATTTAGCGATGCTACCGAACACCAAGTGAAAGAATTTTCTAATTTCGAAAATGCATCAAGTTTGGATGTCTTGTCGTACCTTGATGTTTTTTACCGGTATAGATTCAATGTACAGCAAATATCACGCAGTCAAAATTCATAAAATAATAAAAACATGCTATATGAGCATAGAATAAAATGAGCATTATAATAGACATCGGACAGTTCGAAAAATAATAACGAGAAAAAATATAGATTTACGAATAAAATATATTAAGCAGCGTGAGTGCAACCAGATAATTTTGATAAGATCCTGACAGGTATTGAAATTAAAATTTTCAATGCATAATTAAAAGACATCAATATATTACGATTACTAAGTTGTACACTGGAGGCACCGCAGTACCTTGTTATATACGAGCTATAGTAACACACGCTCGTAAATCATTGAAGAGAGCAGCGTGTTATTCATATCAATTTATCTGAAACGCTTCCGCTGCTTATGTTGGAGTAATTGCTAATTTGTAGCCGGACACGGTTTGTTTTTTTGCACTAAGCGTTTTAATAAGCTGTCTTAGAGATAAGCTGATCATAAAGACTTGGTGTTTATTGGTAGCGGGTGACACTTTAGCCTGCGCGAAGTACGAGAACTCCTCTTGCGAGTATGAAGGCAGGGAATTAACATCGACCAAGTTTCACGGAATAAATAAGCAATAAAATATAAATTAGCATCTCACGGCTCATTAATTTGGAGCAACTCCGCTAATTGATCAATACCAGTTTACAGAATGAAGTGAATTGTTAAATTTGATTAATTTAATTATAACTTTGAATTTTCGTTAACAATTTATACTTTAATTTGCGATTTTTGGTTTGAATTTCTTGACTGAACAAAAATCCAATGATTTAAAATTATGAAATATGTACTGAATAAAATAGGTGATTTGAAAGTAATACTTTATCTTGTACATTAATTCAAACGATTCAATAAAGCAGCTTGTTAAAGTAAAATCGAATAAAAATATTTCACAAATAAAGAACAATCTATTGATCGCGTATTCGGATTTTTGAGGCAATGTACCATTTTTTCAGCCTTGTTGCGGAGGCTCAAAGGTTCTGAAAGGTTCTAAGGGTTCGCTTATCGGCACAGCAAGATTTTCCCTTTTTTTGGCTCCCTATTTTCCTTTATCTGCTTTTGCTAGAGGGTCATCCCACCGAGTCTGATCAATAGAAAAAGCTCACAGTTTTTCTCCATGTTTGTATGGCCATCTTGTGTGTTGCTGGAACCCTTTGGGAAGTTTTTTTTTATAAATTAACAAGATTATATATGACGCTACAGGGAATGAAGTTAGAAATAAAATTGTGTTTGCTCGTTCGAGATTTTCGGGAAAACTTACGCTTTATTTTTCATTTATAAAATTTCTTTTTTTTTTCAATCTATAACACAGCATTAACTTATTTTGCTCGGAACTGGAAGTATAAATTTTACAGAGGCTAAAACCATTCCACCTAAAACTACGAATTTAATCATTAATTTTGCATATAAATTGGAATGATCATGAATTCAATTGACTTTTTAACAATCGATTTCAATTAAATGATTTTTGTCCATATCAGTATATTTATAGAGTGAGGTTTTCTGAACAACTATAATGCAACAATTTCCTTCCCATCGTTACTCAAAATTGCAAATTGTTAGTTTCTCAAGTCATATATAAATATTTAACAAGAAATAAAAATTCTATGTAATATTTTTCTTCAAACAATTTTGATTTCTAATCGTTGGTAACGTTCAAATAATTCATAGGTTGGCCTCTACATAGCACAACATTATTCTATAGAGTTAAAACCATATCAGTGTTTGAAGGCACTATTAATTAACAATAATAATTGTTAACAATTATAATAATAATAGCACATTCAAGCGCACGTGTTAACATTGCAGTCTTCACAATGCTCGTATCCACAATAGAAGTGAATTATTTAAACAGAATGAAATAATGTAGCTTATTAACATGACCTTCCGATCGTCATAAAATCAAATCTACAACCAGCATATGTAGAAATTATTCGTTGTAGTAAATGAATAACTCTGTTTTTATTTGATATCACATGATTACAGGAGTTGAATTAAAATATTTTGGCTTAATGCCGGCGACGATCAATCAAATATTCACTACTTTCTTTCAACAGAAAATTTTGAGGATTCATGGAGACTAACATATATAACTAAAAATGGAAATCATACGTCAATATATGTAAATTCATGTACGAGTTGATATTTGATTTTAATTTCAGTAACAGTTTAATCATAATGATAATCTAGCTGTTGATAATGGATTGTTTTGCATTTTGATTTTTATAGTCGTCCATTTGAAAAATTGTTCAATGTTTGAAATAACTTGTTAACTATTAGATAAACCTTAAATTTTTATCATTAAACGCTAGTACGTTTATTTAAAAATGTCGCAAAAAAATCAGTTATCTCATCCATAGAAATTAGGAAAAAATTAAATCCATATATACCCACATAACTTGAACAAAAAACAAATTTGGGTTAGCCGGTACCGTTAGATTTCATAAAATAAGATTATATTGTATCATGGTAGGTTTAATTCACACGAATTAGAGGATATTAGTTTGAGAGTATATATATTATATTATATCATGTTCATATTATGATTGAGAGGAACTGAAGGATAATGGTTTTATCACATTACCTCCATATGGCACTGCTAGTGGATGCCGTTGGCCGTATACTGCAAGATCAAAGTCAAGTAATCAATTGCCGGAACACGCAAGAGGCAATTTATATATAATCATAACAAGATTATCGGGAAAACTATTTTTTGATACGATTTACGCATCATAATAATAAAAACTGATCATTATTAACACTTCATCATAATTATTTGTAAAGTAATTTATTACTGGGGAATATGTCCAAGTAATTTTTTCAATAAGAATTCTAAATCTCAATACATGGTTAAACGGAAAGGCACTATATGAACGAAATTTTATATCCAGGTTTTATCCAGGCACGAAAAGCATCATGGATACGCGCCCCCCTCTACAGACACTATATATTAGTTCAAACACACGAAATTTGACATATGTATATATACATAAGATTAATTCAAGATCGTCGACTTCATTAGACGAAGTTAATTAGAAGAATCCCCAACGTAAAATCTAAAATTTTAATTATGCGTCTAGACATTAATTACGTATTTTCAATATACACTTGAGCTTCAATTATTCAAATTTTTAATTAGCACCAATCTCAATGAACTCAAATCAAACGACAGATAATTTTTTGTTCAGTATTCAACAAAAAGAAATCGTCCTTGAGCTCTTGGCTGCGAGGAGATCTATATAGTAAACCCTTCCAAGATCTTACTCTATTTGGAACAGACTACGCAAAACCACAGCTTGTGAAAAAAATGTCCCAGGATAATGAATTCGCAGTCGTGCTTTTGCTACAAAAAAATTTCCAGAAGAAAGCTCGGGACCTGTTCCGGGCAAAGAAAAAACTCTTTCCCTTCCTTGTGGCAAAAAAAATTAGAGAAAATTGTCTTATAAAAATTGGCATGACAACCAACACTTGAAAAATGAAATGCTCCAGTAGGAAGTAAGATTTAAATCTTATTTTTATTTACATTATGCTTTCCGAAAATCATATTTTGTATATGTCCCAAAAAATTATATATACAAAAATATAAAAGGTCATGTGGTATCATTAAAGAACTTTTTTCATGTTAATTTATGTATCAGATAAATTTATTAAATATTATAAGCATGAAGTTAGATCTGCAGTTAGTCATGCCAAGCATCAAGCAAACATGTTATGAGTAAATTATGCATATTAATATTTTATACAAGTGTATGTGTATGGCTCATTGACAACTGAACAATTGAAATTGAACCAATGATACTGAAGAATTTATGCGGTATTAATACATGTAAAAATTTGTTTGTAGAAAAAAGTTCATTTAAGAAAAAAACTAGAGCCTAATAAATGCATTTATAACTTTTACCGAATTTATTGTTGAAATAATTCGGTTTCGAATTATATGTGTGGATCGCCATTAATTAAGATAATTGTTAGTATCTTCCTCCTATATAAATTTTGGGTGAAATACATCATAGCAAAGTAATATAGCCAGATCCATGAATTTTTTTTCTAATTTTTTCTAACGTTCGATTTCGTCGTAAGCCGCACGTTAAGCAAATATGGCTTATGAAAAATAATACATAATATAAATATTAATTAAAAAATATTTCAAATAAAAAATTATTAAATTGTGAAGTTGTATCTATTTTCTACTCAAATATATTCTCTGTTCCAAACTCTCTTTTATATTCAAATTTCCGTACATCTGTCATTTAATTCAGGCTTACGTTAATATCCTTCTCTACTATAAATTATTCAATAAAATCATTTCTCACATAGACTTCAACAAGAATAAATACAAAGAACGGTCTTGGTGCTTCACTTTCTATTTTTGAAATTATTTAAAATTAATTAAAAACTGTGTTTTTTTCACTGGAATATCTAACATTTCCGTGATTATCGCCAGTTTAGAACGGAAGCGCCGCCGTTGGTCGCAGTGCCCAACGCAACGTAAATGAACAACGCTCTGGTGGCGTGTTGTTGTGAACGAAGTCTTGTGTGCTAGACGAAGCACTCAAAACCGCTGAGCGATTTGTGTCAGATATTATCGGTCAGCATGCGTCCACGTCGGGCTTATTGCTAGGTGAGACTCGTGAACGCATGGATGGCATATCAGAAAAAACTGTTGCCAAAGCCGTGGCAAGGAGCGAGATGTGATCAAACTAGAGCGCAAATGCATGTGTGGATGTATATAGAGCTGTTTGTGTTCTGTGTGACCTAGATACTCTGTGTGAATCAAGAGATGCAGCCTGTTTTTCGCAGTATAAGCTGCGAAATCATCTGTATAAATGAATTGTTTATGGATTGTTTGAAATCGTGAAAATGCACATGCTTCCCAGCAGCAGACGTCCGACTGAGAGAAACTAATTCCCTCTGATACTAAACATGTCGTAAATTAGTAAATAATAATTAAAACTCGAAAATTCAAGATATTGTTCAACCTATTCACCTTTCAGAAATTCTAGCACAAGCATCAGATCTAAGTAACCCATGGCTGCAGGGCTACATATATAAGAGTTAACACTACACTTGCCGTCTGAGGCTTTTCCATTCGAAACTAATGACATTGTCCGTCCTAAAATCAGCTAAAATACTCAACAATCATCATATTAATAGTAATCATAATTAAAATTATGAGGGCAATTTGTATGTTTACTTGAATTACAAGCACAAGAGGGGGAATGACAATAATTATAATTGTCAGCTATAATATATATGTTAAATAATTATTTTATTATGCTTGGTTGCATTTTTATTATTTTATGGATAGTTCTCTAAGAGTAAAAGTAAGTCCCTGGGGGTGCGATGTTTCTTACGTTTATGTTGTTTTAGTTAGTGCTTGAAATAAATTATTATTATTAATTAAAGTAATTACTTATATTGTAAAAATACTTTGTTTTTATTATAACTTATTATTATTAGCCAGATACATAGGGATTACATAAAACATAATGAATTATATAAGGTCTTTTGCACAAATAATGCATTGATTTTATTAGCTTATTTTGCACCGGTGAATTCCTATTATTATTAATTAACTAGCGTTAAAAAATATGATGCTAAGATAATATGTTTTATCTTTACAAATTATATAAAGTCGCAATTATAGCATTCAGGTTAGCATGCAATGCGTATCATATATTAAATTATTATGTAGTGAAGTGGAGAAAACTTAATGTTTAACTTACACCAGTGAAAAGCCTAAGAATAAGAAGGGGCACAAAGTTTGTGAACTTTCAACTGGAATTCTTCAAATCTGCTTGAATAGCTTAGCTATTTTCAAATTCAACAAGTATATATACGCACAAATTTATTTCCTTAATTCCTAATATCCTTAAATTTCTCCGATAATAATTGGTGAAATTATTACCAATTCTTGGCAACAATGTAAAATAAAATATATATTAAACAATAAATAGGGCACTTGGGCCTCTCAAAATAACATGAATGCTGTAATATATTCGCTTATTTTCATCCTCATGTGATACTTTTTATATGAAATTGCACGAAATAACAAAAAAGTTTCGATAGAAAATTTCTCACCTTGATAAATATAACATGATATTTCTTGAAAGAAATACGGAGGCAAAACGACTGAATTTATTTAGAATGCCTGCTTTAGCTTACGGCCAAAGAAAGGAAATATTTATTGAGAATTTGTAAGTTCTTTCATTTTGGAATTAAGTTCAAATTTGACCTCTGCATCTGCTTGATCATGTGATCACATTCTGTGTGATTACGACCCGAGAATCGCAAGTCATTGAATGAAATTTAATAAATTATACGAAATGTGTGAAAGATATATACGATATTTTTCGAAAAACTTTTACCACAATCGGACGCTAAGCTATTATCAATTATCTTGTTTGCTCTTCTTTGTTTATTATTATCAATTATCTATTGCTCGTCAAACCTAGACCATGCACGTGTGTCAGATTTACAAAAGAAATATCCCTATAACAAGAGCAGATGTTTCTGGCTCCGAAATTTCACTAAAAAAACAGTAAAATGAGAATTTTTCTTTGAATATGTAAAATGCCTGCGGTTACAAGAACATGCATGGGCTACTCCTATTATTTTCTCATATCAAAAGAAGTGATCATATCCAACATCATGCGAAACATATGTTCATTGAAATGTACCGGGGAATCATGATTGAATTTCTCAGCACAAACCTCCGTGATTTACAATATATATTCTGAATAATACCGTTAGCTTCAACTCTTAATAAATATAGGTCAAATAAATAATATATCAGTAAATTTATATAAGTGCTTGCATATTCGATTTTAATGAACAATCCTTTAAAATCTGAGAATTGTGTGACGAGAATTGCAATACAATTCTAATTTAAAACTAATAAAATATTTTAATTAATTATTCATATGTTTCCAAAAAGCGGAAAAAATAAGTTAATTTGAAAGGGCAAATGAACTTCAATGTTCTCACCAAGATAAGAATGAGGATTTTTTTTGTATGATTGAATGGATCTAGAAATGCAAGCTGATTGCTTACCATATATTTTTACATTTGCATTACATTCAGAATTTATATATTTATTCAAGATTATTGCAGTTATTTTGTTTTTTTTTAGGTTTAATTGAAGACCACATTATGCTTTTTATTATAAATTTTCTCATTCGTTTTCTCAATGAGACAAACAGTGTTATTTGCTGGCTTTGGGAGATCGAAGAGATGGTACCAAAATATATTCATAGAAAAGGTTGATTTTTATTTGACTGAGAATTCTAATTTGTATATATTTATTTATATTAAACTGAGAGAATAGGCACGAAAATAAAGTAAATGAAATTGAAAATTTAATATTCGTGATTCTTTATTAACTATATATCTCTAAATTTTAGTTATTTCTGTCTGAAAACTAAACTAAATGTCAAGTTTATTTATGCATGCAATGATACCTTATATTATATTTGGTAGCCAAAACCAAGATGAATTTATTTCTTTTAGTGCAGAAAATATTTATAATAAATAGATCTAGTTGACGAAATTAGATGACATAGCTGCAGCTGGCATATGTACTTTCCTCGAAGATAAATTGTAATTGATAATTTAAATAGAAGACTTCTTTAATGCTAATTTTTTTGAATTAACAATGCAATTAGTACACTTGTTTTGCGTAGTAAATTAGTAGACCAGTTGTCTGGTTTCTGTTAGTTCAAATAGTAGACTTGCTTTATTTATTCAATAAGTAAAGTTGTAATTAAAATATTAGACTTGGTTATTAAGACCAAGTTTTTTTTTTAATTAGCAGGCCTGTTAATTCAGAAGGCAGACATCATTAATTAGTCTTTCAAATGGTAAACTTCAGTTGGGATCGATACAAATGGTTGACTAGTTGTATATATTCAATTGGTAGAGTTGTTCTATTTATTCAATTAGTGTACTTGTTAATTCAAATAATGGACTTGTTAATTCAATTGTTAGATCGATTTTATTTAGTCAATTTATATAGATTTATCAATTCAACTAGTAGACTTGGTTTTGGTTTTAGATTCAAATGGTAGACTAATTGTGTACATTACTTATTAAACATTACGATTCCAAGAAATACTCATATATTTAATTAGTAGACTAGCTACTTCGATAGGTACATTTTTTATGTAGTCAGATCATTTAAGTATTTTTGTATGTACTTTTGATTACTTTAATGGTTGATTGGTTTTATATATTCAATTAGTAGACTTGCCCTATGCATGTGATTGTAGACAGTTTTATTCAATTGGTAAATTCGTATTAAATAATTAGACCTATAAATAAATTATTCTAAGCACAATTGTAGTAATTATATGTATAAACTTTCCAGTCTTTAAATTTTAATTTGAATTGTTTAAAGTGGAAAAAGGGCCAAGCAATCAATTTATACAACAGGCTGAACCAAAATGCAAGACCATGATACCATATTATTTATAATGCATGTATAAACTTTAGACTTGATAAAAAATTAAACTCGAAAACTATCTGTTAGATTTCGTTCTCAGTCATTCTGCGAAGTCGAACATCTGTCAAAATTTTTAATTGAGATTCTGATACGCAATTTTATGAAAATATATATTATTATTAAGGTATATATTATTATTAAGCTATATATTATTAAGGTATCCCGATTTCAAGCCGTAATTATATTTTCCATAATAAAGAAATACTATTGCCTAGAGGCAAAGGTGATTTAGTTTACTTATATATCATTATTGCTTTTCTTTTGGCATCAGCGAGTACAAGATCGTAAATAATATTAAATAACAAGATATTAATACTTGATTAACAGTCACAGTATTTCAGTAACAAATATTTTAATTTTAAAGATATCATTTTATTAAATGAGTTGAATTCGCAGCAGTCGTTTGCATGCCGTTTCCAAGGTGACGTTGACAACACATGTCGACTGATACAAGCTAAACCAATGAACCCAACCCGGTAGGTGAAAATTTTAAATTAATTCGAATGAAAAATTGAAAGTTGGAAATAAGTGTGATGATGTGTACTGAAATTGTTTAACAACAACAGGAAATTCCAGATTATCACTAATTAATATTCGATAAACTAAAACTCACCTGGTGGATAGGGTGCAGGTGGCATGGATTCAGCAGAGGGATAATTCCTTAAATATCCATCGTGTGGATATCCAGCAGCCTCCATGGCAGACTTGGGGCCTCCATCAGCGCTGGTGAGATAAGGGACTGGTTGTCCATGAGAGTCCACGTGTCCCACTCGCCCATATGGCGCATAGTTGCACCAGGTCTGCGCTGCGAACGCCTGACACGAGTCTGCCGTCATGGACGAAGGCCCGGGCGCATATTCGTATTTGTTGGGCCAAAAAGCTAAAGCCTTGCGGTCGGCAGCGACTCTGGAGTCGGCAATATTGTAATACGTGGGGGTGACCCCGTCTCTGCAGAACGCTTGGCTGTATTGGGAATCGAAAGGCGCCGTTGCCACGGCGTGGTCTGGCTGGTAATTCCATGGCTGCGTCGAGTGGGAATGCCGGATTACACCCGGGGCTGCGGGGTCTGAGCAGTCTGTCGGGTGAGGGTAAGGTGTCCCCGGTAAAGTAGCTGATGCCGCAGCCGCCCTTTTAGCCGGGATATGAAGAGGGGCTTGAGCCGCCGCTTCGAGCGACCGCTCCTCGTACACGGCACCGCCACCGTTCATCCTATCCGCCGTCTCGACACCGCCGCCACCACCGCCACCCACTGCTTCATGGTGCCGCCACAATTCAGCCGCCGTCGCCACCGTGATCGAGGAGCAGGAGGACGAGGATCGAGAACACAAAAGCACACACATTAATCAGCGAGCCACGAGCGCCGCTTGGTAGCACCTACAGACTGTCTGGCTGGTGCACCTCGAAGCGACCACTAGCTAGCACTGAGAACTATAGCGCAGTACTACTGCCTGACTTGCAACCATACTGTGACTCTACTGCCTACACTACACACGTACAGGCCCGGGGCGGGCCTCAGCGCTGCTCTCTGGGGAGGAACCCGCTCTTAAGAACAGATCTGGGACGCGGTGCTATTGGGTCTGCCGCTCTGACGTCACGACCCTTGAGACCCGTTCAGTGCTTGGCCCGCCCATTCAAATAGAGAGCGACTTCGTTGAAACTCTTACTGACATACACTGCTGCTGCTGCTGCTGCTGCTTATGCTTAGGCTGCCGCAGCTACTACTGCTGCCGCTGCTGCTGACAGGTCGTTTTCTTGCGTTCTACTAAGCGATGTTTATTCTTAACCTGAATCTTCAAGTGAAATTAAAAAATTCATAATTGCTAACTCGTGAAAAAAATTTCGGCCGATTCATATCATAACGTAATACTTGTGAATAAAAATTTTTCAACCATGTGAGTTTGTCATACAAGTAAGTTGTATGACTTTTGTAAAAAAAATTGTAAATTATAAAAGATATTTTTTCACCTCTTGGAATTAGACTTAGAAACTGTATACCTCAGATGTAGCAGTGCCTGTAGGTTTTTGATGTCATAAATCAAAACCAATTTTCTGCATAAAGAATCTCTCAGGCTTTATTTTCTAACTCTGAAATTTTAATGTATAATAATTTTATGTTTTCACAATGAAACATTCTTGAAATCGTAAATTATAAAACTTACTCACGGAAAAAAAATATCGTAAAATTCGAGTAAAAATACCACATTACACCTTTTTTTGCCGAAATCCTAATGAAATTTCAACAATAACTTTAAATTCCATCATTGAAGCGAACAAATCCAAAAGGTAAACATCGAAGTTTTGCAAAATTAAATTTATTTTAGGTTTAATGTAGTTTGAAAAAGTGTGATTATCTAAAATCAGTTCCAAATGTGAATGAAGGTGGATCGTAAAAAACTGGAAACTATTAATTACTTACGAATATCATTTCTATTTCTATTTATACGCTTGAAATTATTCAATTCGCTCTGTTCTTCCGGACTGCACAAATTATATGTGGCTTGCATTATCATTTGATTAACGAAGCCATTTTGAGAAAACTCTGCGGACTTTGATGGATATATTTCATTTACGCTGACTAAACCAGCAAATCAACCAAAATTAAGTTACATTCAACTATTAAGTGAAAACTCGTTACTAAACTTTAATAAACTCGTTAAAATTTAAATTTTTGCATTCTTTTATATCAAATTGGCTAGACCTGTGCCATTCATTTAAATTCATTGACACAGAACGGTGAAAATATTTGAGAACAGTGATCAGTATGATTATTATTGTAAGTTTAAGCCATTTAATAAATACATTTTGCTATATTATGCGATAACAAAGCTGAAACCTAATGCCGATAGAGCAAAAAATTTAGAATCATTCTCACAATACGTGCCTGAAAAAGGCTGTAATTGAAGTACAGGTCACGAGAACTTAAATTTGCTAACCACTGATTCTCACAGACGAATAATCGCCAATCCATTGAAAATTCACCGTTAATCCTTCTAGGCTGTATGTTACTTAAAACATATTATATATATTATTCATTCGCGCGTAACGGTATGGAACTTATTAAGTCGACTGTACACGTATCCCGATTTTACGAGTTTTTATTAGCGGCAAACGCTTATTTGCGCCTCTGCAGTGTCTCAGAGAGCCGGTGCCCACAACCACAAAAGGCTTCAGGTAAAGAGTGTGTGTAAAGAAGATTCCCTTGTAATTATCCCAGAAATGACTAAATGTGGTCTTGCTCCACATGGAAAATTCTTCATTGTATCCATGGCTACGAACTTCCTTATCTGATGGTTCTCCAATGAGCGGACATTTTTGAGCCTTCTAATAAACGCTTGCGGTCACTGGACGTAATTAAAGATAAATGCTGGATAAATGGATATATGAATTTATTTCTTGATTTTTCGAACTATGTTATTCCAAGCACAAATAAGTTATAAAAAATTACATTATTGATTTATTTATGTCATCTTGCCGCGAAGGTGTAAAATTTAATCATTCAATTAGATTTTAGTAGTTAAAAACTTAGAATTTTGTGAAACTACAAAATTATACACTCTCATTTATAATTACTAATAACTATAGTTTATTGCTTGTTGAAAGCATTAATAAAAACATATAGTTTTTGAGCCATGTTAATGGCAAATATTAGTGAAGTGCCTAAAGTACTCGGTATTTTAAGAAGCGTGCAGTGAGAAATATTTATGGAAGCTTTGACTGGACGCGCGATTCTCCATGCATTCTCGCAGTTGGAGGGCAGGGACTTTTACGAGCACCGACTTGCCGTCTGGCAGACGGACGATTTAACAGTGAGCGACTGCAGGAACACCGTTGACAGGATGCACATGGACGGCAGATAAAAAATCTCATGCCCCGTAGTATCCAGGTGTACTTAATTAAAATAATAAAGGAAAACCTGAAACTTATCGAAATCGAAAGAAAAAATCTCATGCCCCGTAGTATCCAGGTGTACTTAATTAAAATAATAAAGGAAAACCTGAAACTTGTCAAATTCGAAAGAAAAATTCTCATGCCCCGTAGTATCCAGGTGTACTTAAAATAATAAAGGAGAACCTGAAACTTGTCAAAATCTAAACAAAAATTCTTACGCCGTAGCATGCAGGTGTACGAAAAATAATACAGGAATACCTGAAACTTGCCAAAATTAAAACAAAAAATTTCATTGTTCATTATATCCACATATGATATTATACTGGAATAACGTACTACCTATGAATAATATACTACTTATAATATACTAGACCCCGTAAACGAAAATTAATTGCATGTTAGCAACGTGATGATGAAGATATTCATGTATGCCTTGTACAATTAAGTCATCCTGAAAACTTTTCACTGCCAGTAAATATAATTTATATATTTAGTATAATTTTTTTGTTCGATACCTTCGAGCATATTAATTAATTTGCAATTTCTTGTGCAGTATTTGTTATTCCGATTATTTCGCAACACACAAACGTGATCGTAAATTTCCTCCGGAAATTTCCCTAACCAACTTGAGTAGAAATTAAGTTTCTTGCAATTGGAATATTTTATATGCAAAGTTACTTTATTAAACAGCAATCTTGTTAATCGTACTTCCAATCTTTCTTCAGGCCTTTTCAGTAATTAAATAGGTACAAATTCTTGCCACTTCAACTGACAAATGGTTTATCCATATATATTTCCATGACAATCAATATAAGGTCCCTCCAATGAATATTATATCAGTACTAAGGCGGAGCTTTATGAATATTCGATAACGATTCTGAATTTTCGAATTAAGTATGATTTTTTATGCTGTTGGTTACATTATTTTTAATTTCCAGTCGTACCTTAAATGGATAATTAATTTCTTTCATCAATTCATTGATGCAAGGATTCGTGGGACGTTTGTTAGGACATAATTATTTCATTGTTAAAATGAACTTTATTTTCCGGAGAACCTCACAAAATAACCTAGACCAAAATCGATTTCAAGTATTTTGCTGAGCTGAGGATCGAGAAGCTCTGAACGTTACTCGCATTACTTAACAAGAAATGAATTCATTCAACTTGAAGATAGCAAAAAAAGAAGCATTATCACGCAAGACTTTTTTTTAGATATTTCCCTGCGTGTTCAATTGAAATAACTCTCCGGGTTTCTGTTCAAATCAGAGCAAAAACTACCGAGTCAATTCGTCCATGTTGATTTGTATACGGCTGGCCGAGTGCGGCCACATCTAAGTCACAGAGATCGCATCAAACCGAGAAATTCATTGAAAAGCCCGTCCTGACACGTTCATGTCGTAAAACTAAAAGGGTTAGGCGCTTACGGGTCTCATTGCTTCCCTGCACCATTGATCTGCAACCGCTCAAAATTAACACAGCATAATTGGGCTCAAGCTTTGGCCCGGGTTGAGGTTGCCTACTCCTCCGTAGGCATCTGATATTAGTCGTAAATAGAGCATTTTTCTGTGTTAGCGCTTTAGAAAAAGAAACGAATATTTTTAATTAAGCAGATTTTGCATTTCTCCTATGCTAAAATGTTCACCTTCTTATTAGCAACAATTATCTCAGAAGCTGCAAATTCGCTGTCTGTGCCAGCACGACTGGATTTAGTATAAATTTATAGTGGATATAAGCTACAAAGCAAATATTGTATTGTGCCGTCGATGCGCCGTGCAAAACACTCATTTGCATTAACAACTCATGAGAACTCACCCAACATGCATTAATGAGTTCAGCACCCAGCAAGAAAAAATTACTTCAATCCTGAACATCTTACGGAAAAAACTCTTGATGAAAGACAATATTCCTTATCCTTTTTGTCAGTTTTTCACCTAATGTTCGATAACATGCAGACTAAAAATTTTATTTCTCTCCTCGGATTCACAAATAACTTTGGAGTTGATTTACTTGTGCATGATAATCGTTTAAGTGTATTGGGATGTGTTAAGATTAGATAATGGGCCAATATTAATCACAAATTTTATTCTCAAGTTTATAATCTCAAACTGAGTAGGCTAATTATTGTCAAGTAAGCTCGATTCGTTTTTCATCTATCATGTCAGTTACCGACTAGGTATTATAGTTGACGAATTATTCGAGATAATTTCAAACTAAATTGATAATTTTCAGCTTTGCTCGATTTCAATTAACGTATCAATCATTTACTCGATGCATGCAATTTCGTAATTCGTATTACTTCAGTGACTCTTGCTACGGGAAAATAGAACTTATATAGCCTGTGAATACCCAAGCAGAGACTACCATCATAACCACACGATGATAGACTCTTCTTGCACATAAAATAAAGTTTTTATATTCTATACGTAACTGATTTGCTTCGTCCAGGACATGTTTCGTTAAAATGTTTCAAAAATGGAATTTAATTTTTGTCATTACGGTGGAAGTTCAATTGCAACATCGAATTAGTTCAGACACTTGTGATTCAAACAAGAGATTCATTTTACCTAGAGCATTCAATAATCAGAGCATTAATAATAATAAATAATAAATAATCACGTTTAAATTCGTTTTATATATAATTATTCAGAAATAAGTCACCTTTTCTCTGGTTGAAAGCCAGAGTTCTGGAGGACGATGATGCTTGTTGTCTGTTAAGGGTCGGAGAAGATTCAGCTTTGCTCGATTTCAATTAACGTATCAATCATTTACTCGATGCATGCAATTTCGTAATTCGTATTACTTCAGTGACTCTTGCTACGGGAATATAGAACTTATATAGCCTGTGAATTAATAGCCAAGCAGAGACTACCATCATAACCAAACGATGATAGACTCTTCTTGCACGTAAAATAAAGTTTTGATGTTCTACGTAACTGATTTGTTTTGTTTCGTCTGAGACGTGTTTCGTTAAAACAGTTCAAAAATTGAATGTAATTTTCGCCATTACGGTGAAAGTTCAATTGCAACATCGGATTAGTTCAGACACTTGCGATTCAAACAATAGATTCATTTTAACATCAGAGCATTCAATAATCAGAGCATGAATAATAATAAAAAAACTTGTTTTTTATATAATTATTCAGAAATAAGTCACCTTTTCTCTGGTTGAAAGCCAGAGTTCTGGAGGACGATGATGCTTGTTGTCTGTTAAGGGTCGGAGAAGAGTTGCCTGGTGACAGTTGCTGTTGTTGCTGCTGCTGTTGATACTGCAGCTGCTGTTGCTGCAGCTCAACGGCAGAAAAGGTGTGAGGATGAAACAGTCCCAAAAAAATCTTGAAGGCTTTTAGTTACTTTTTTCCGAAAAATTTGTGAACGTTGGGCAATACCCAGCGTTCAGCGGAACAACTTTGACTTCAATAAAAACCTGAAATCGAGCAAATAATTTTTTTTCTACTGATGCAGCACTTGGATTACTTCACAACTGTACTGCGGTAGGTCACTGGAATTTCTGGTGATGACCTGTAAAGAAAAAAAAGACACTCACATTAATCGTAATAATTGGGACATCGTAAACGATTTTTTTTTAGTATACTAGCTCTCATATACCTTGATCCGATTAAAATTTAACGATCTATTTTTTAGCGCATTTTCTCATTTATGGAAAAATGCACTATTGTGTTCGCCATGCCCGTCTGACCGTCCGTCCGTCTGTCCGTCCGTCCGTCTGTCCGCTCGTCTGTCTGCCCGTCCGTGCCTTTACGTTTTCGTCGACGAGAAAATGCGCTCTCTGTCACTCACTGCAGTGGGTACTGAGTTATATTTTTTACATATTTATAAGGAACAGTCGTTGCTACAATCAAATGTTAATTGAAACAAACAAAATGAGCTAAATTTAACCTTTTTGTTTTACAAATGAGTTTTTATTTATTTGAAAACGTATTTTAAAAATGAATCCTTGTTTGGTGTATCGTGTTTGGAGTTACAGGCGTGCATGTAAAAACGCTGCTAAAACTTCAAGTTCCGAGCATGAACGACAAGAAAACTTGTCAAATATGGATAAAAGTTGCAATTATTTCAACATATCTACGGATCTTTTGCAGACGAAAAAATAACTCGGTAATTTTAAAACAAATGTGCATACATGTATTATATATATATGTTCATTCTAAATAATCAAACTATATGTGATTTAATATAGACCATCCTTAATTTTCGTAGCATGCATTTTTAAATAAGAAAAATGAGAAATAAATTAAATTATTCGATTTAACGTATATGTGAGCCTCGAAATGAATCTTTCTTCACTCGAGATATATTCGATTAAATCTATTCCATTGGCATTTCCAGTTTCTTTCTGAAACATATTTTTGACTGAAATTGCGTTCGAACTCATTAAAAACTTTAATATTTATTCTCCATTCAGATGGAATCGAATTTAATGACATACGTTAACTCAATAACCCTCTCTAAAATAAGGCTTCATAATATTTTAAGCAAAATGGTTTAATCTACACCAAGCTTCTTGTGGGAACATGCTAATAGAAATTTTTAAACATAAATAGGCAAATACGACAGCAACATCTTAACTTATTTAGGTTGACCATCAACAAAGTTAGCCATCGCACATGTAGGACGAGAAACCCGTTTTCTATGATTTCATATGAAGGCCTGTTTGTGATTGGTGAAAAAACCGCTAATACTTTCGTCTGATTGGCTTTTACAAGGAGGTTCACATCGGCCTACTTGTTTGTATAGCGGCCTCAAAAATGGAGCCAAACGATCATCCATTGTTTGCATGTCAAATTCTTTTTAAATCACAATATATTGTTAATACTAAAAATATTAAATTCGAAACTTGAAGGCCCAATAGAACACATGAACAGAAATTCATTGGGATTCGCCATATGTTGTGAAATATGCTACTTTCAGATAAAATTCCTGTGGAGCGAAACTTAAATTTCTATTGTTTGGCTGCCGCAGAATTCAAGTTAAAGTAATATGTGATGTAATAGGCATTTTATAAAACCATTTTCATTATATAGTGGCAGCGCTTGGACAACCATTGCCAAACACATGGATGAACACTCACACGATTTAATCGATAATTTAAGTCTCTTATTTCAATTAATTTCCATCGTTCCCATTCTGGAGCATGCATAGTTCAAGAGTTCGTTAAAATTTATTCGAGTGGCTGAATATTTACTGCGACTTTGTATCATCCATTTCAATCTAATTCGTTAACAAATAAATAGTTATTTTACTTATATTCTCAAAGAAAATAATTTATTTTGTACTAAAAGATAACTGAAAATATTATGTATAGGGAAGGTCGCCAGTTTCAATATTTACTCTAGATTGCCCAGCAAGTTTGTTATAATTTGAAGGCTTCCTATATACAAGCTGGCTTGTTCATGCCTCGCTTGTGGCCAGCTTCATCTGGCAGCATCTAAACAGCGTCATATTCTGCGTGCTTTTGAAGAAGGTTTCCATTAAACTAAGTGACTTTCCACTGAGTTAAGTACATTCTTTGCCCGAGTCCATTAGGATTTAGTGCAAACTAACTTAGAGAAGAAGAATGAAGAAATTTTGAAGCGAAGGTGTATGCTACACGCGGGGTTGAATAAATAGAGGTTTGGTCCATTGAGGTTTCGTACACACGAATTTATAGACGAAATGAAGACCGTTTGAAAGTTCTGGGTAAAATCTACGTGTATTATTTACTTCACATGAAGACAGAAATGGAATCCCATACGATTTAGGAAACCCTTAGAAGTGAACCACGCGGGGGGTTGTGGTCCAAGGATTGTCTTAAATGAGAATAGAAAATGTTGGATGTTTGCACGAGGTAACAAAGAACTGTACCCTGATATATTGTACGCCATTCTGCGGGAAATTGTGGACGTGTTATTGATGGCAGACGGTACGACTGTTAACTGTCATCAAAAATGTGGCGAATATATATGCAAAATGCACAATGCTTATTGATGTATTCTTCTAAAATTTTAGACTGCTGCAGCTTGAGAAAAGATATTGCACCCAGGTACTAGTCATGTAATTTTTACTAATTTTATCGTACAGTACGTACGGCATGTGCTGAATTATCTATGGCCGCCAGTTGTCCATCAGTGGCCGCCACTAACAATAAGACCACACAGATACCCCTGCAAAAGCTCCTTCGCACGATAAAACGAGAAAAGCGGCTAAGAAGAAAAAGATCTCAAGCTCAAGTCAAATATATTTGGTCTCGCTATGCATGCTTTGGCATTCATTTCCAGAGATCACTTTCTGCATGGAAAATCTCAAGCTGATCCTAACTTCTCTGGCATAGAGTGCTGGTGCCACAGCTAGGGTTTCTAAGCAGAGCTTAAGCAAGCGTGTCTGTGCACCAATCACAAAGATTTCCTCGACACAATCTTCAGCTCAAGGGTCGTCTTCATTTCCATACAGATGGCTCGGTGCCTCGGCTCTGATTCCTCTATCCACAGAACCTAGCCGGCGCGCTGTCCAGACATTTTCTGCACGCGTATTTATTTCTACAACCATGCATCGTGCCAAATCAAATTGATGCAGAATTGTAAGTGCTATGGTTATTGGTTGCCCGGCGATCAGCCGTTGAAAATACGCAGATTATTTTAATATGAAGTAGAATTTCTGGTCGTGAAATGCAAGTAGACAAGCCTGTTTTGTAAACTTGGTTAGAGTTATTTTTTAATTTTTGCAAAAGCTCCATGGAACATGCATGTACTCGCACGCAAGTTAATGATGCATGACAAGTCTGTATCTGGAAAACTTTGTAGGTTTTATCCGCCGAAAACTTAGTGGTCGAATATGCTTAATGAGACACCGCGATTAGCTGGGTAATCAGTTAGGCATTTATCCCTGCAAGCAGACACGACCCGAAAAACAAATTACCATCAATTTGATTAAAGAGAATTTTGGCTCCAGCTAGCAAGAAGGAACTCCTGAATGTCATAAGGATTTTTTTTCAAGTAAAGAAGAACTCATGAAAGAATTCTAAAGAGAAAATTTGAAAAACATAATTTCATTACATTTCAGAAACTAATATTCTTATTTATAATTAAGCTTACAAACTATAACATTCATGCAAAAATGAAACTAACTACTTAATTCAAATTCTAAGTTGTCCGAATAAGATATGCCTCGCTCCTGTTTGGTGAAAATCGAAGAAACATTGTTCCTTGAAATTTTTTTATTAAAAGTTGCAATAGTCAATTTCCATATTATTAAAGGTTGATTAATATCAATAATAACTATTACTAATAGTATATATATTACTGGTTTATCCCCATATCGAGACATCACATTTCTATCAATTATTCTTTCCAGAACTCAAAAAATGCAGATGAATTAAAAATCGAATCCAATATTGTAATTTTACAATATAAGAACTTTATCTTAACTATATTATAACTAAACGAAAATATAACCAAGCTAGAAATATGCAGCGTGCAAGCATGAGCTGAGGCAAGCGGTTAGAAACATTCCTTCTCAGGCAAGTCAAACAGCATTCCTGACGTGAATATCCTGCCGCCATTCACTTCCAGGCTTCAATGCTCGTCAGTTCCATTTTATTCTAGCATTTCTTTCTTCCTAAATGCTCAAGACTGCATTGGCAGCTCCCTATATCATCGCTGCTGCATTGCGATCTCAAAGAAATCCTGTCAAAGGCGAGGAATGTTTTTGATTTTGAGGAAA